CACTGTGTGTGCGTGCATGGTCACGCACGCAAGACAGTAGCACACGGCATCGCAGGGTATAGTGGCACGTTGCAGTGGAAAGACCCATGGGCTTGGAATCAAAAGATTTAAATTTTGGTTCTAAAGGCCTCCTTTCCTGGCTCTTTGATCTTTGCAGGTTAGATAACCTCTCTGAGCTTCAGATTTCCCGCCAGTGTAATGGAAAAAAATAATACCGGCTCTGCTTTCTGTAAAGTGTAAGAATAAAAATGAAATAACGTACATGAAAATGCTTTGTTAATTACCATGTGCTGTACAAATGTGAGAGATTATTATCGTCATAGCCCAGCTCATCAGAACGAGGAGTTGTATGTGGCTTAAAATAATCCATCCAGTGAGCTGTGTTAAAATGTAGGTCAAATCATAGACCCAGAAGTTGAGAGAGGCTAATGGTAGCTACCTAATCTAAGAGGCCACCAAATGTGAAGGTGCTTTGAAGGCTGTAAAGAGTTACATAAATGTAAAGTGACATGATTATGTTTAAGCCTAGAAAGTACATTTTAGTCCTCCTGTTTCCTGATTTGGAGTTATAATAATCAGAGCGGCACTGGAGCCTCATGCATGATCGTATTTGAGCAGGTTTGTGGGTTCATATGTGTGCCTCTCTGTGCGTATGGACTCATTTATTGAGCACCTACTATGTGGCAGTCATTCATCAAGTATTTCCGAGTGCCTACCCTGGGCCAGGTGCACCGGTCCAGGCTCTGGGAGTGCTAAGGTGAATAAGAAACAGTGCCTTCCCGCAAGGAGCTGGTCGCCTGGCCAGGACAATAGCCAGCAGTTGCAGTGCTGGGTAGTGGGCACTATAGAAAAAAGATCTATGAACTCAGTCTAGGAGGAGAATGGGAGGAGGGGGTCTAGGGGAAGGAAATCCAGGAAATGAGATTGGAAAAGGAAGAGTTAGCTGAACCTGAGGGGAAGGTGGTCGGGACAAAAGGAAGAGCCTATGCCAAGGTCCCGGGGAGGGAAGCAGCCCGATTTTGTCCCTGGCGCGGGCTGTTTGCACACAGGTGTGAGGAAAGCAGGAGGAGAGGGGTCCAAGGCTGCTGGCCGGTCCCGGGGGCCTTCCTTCACACGGCCCAAGGAGCTCGCCGAAGGAGCTCGGCTTGATCCTGCAGGCTCCTGGGAGCCCCTCAGCAAGGGCTTAAGCTCTGTGGAGTGACATAATCAGCTTTGCATTTTGGAAAGATCAGGGAGCCCCAGTGTTCCTGAGTGTCTCACTGCAGCAGTACCAGCCAGATGCTGGGGTGTGTCTATAGCAGTGAGTGATCGCTACATATGCTGGGCAGTGAGCTGGGATTTGCTTGGGAGCAGGAGGGAGATTGGAGGAGGAGGGAGTGATGCACTTTTGTGAACAGTTCTGGTTAGGAAGTGCTGTGGGAGCAGAGGAAGTTAGTAATTCTTGAGTGACTATCACGTGTCAACCTTCCCTATATTACTTCATTTAATCGTTGTAACATTGCTGTGGGGTAGATATTATCCCCGTTTCATAGCTGAGAAAGCAAGACTCAGAGAGATTAAATGGCTTGAAGTTACTCATGAGCAAAGAGCAGGGCCAAAAGTCAAGCCCACCTCCTCCCTCCCGGAGCCCACCTAACTAGACGTTCTGCCTCTTGCCACCTCCCACTGGAAGGGTTGACTAATTAGATCCCTTCCTTGATGGATGAGAAAACCAATCTGGGCCCATATCTGTTCCTGCTAAATTTGTTACTGTTTTCCAGCTGCTCCAAGTCACTGTGGATCAGATTCTTCCCTTTCAGAGTATTAGCGATGCTTCCTAATTCAGTGCTACTTGCAGATTTGATAAGCATATTTTAAATTCCTCTGCTCAACCCAGCAGCAAAGACATTGCATGGAACGGGCCCCACGACAGATGCGAGAATGAACTCCTTGCTATGTCTCCTTGAGGGACGTGGCCCCAAGACACCTGCTCATCCTTCTCGGTGTGTTATCCCCTCCTAACTAGTCGTGTGAACGCAGTCAGGCCCGGAGCAGAAGGTATCACCTTCCTCTTTGCCCTGTGACTTGTGACTACATCGCAGAAGAATGATATGTTGGCCAAAAAAGAATGTGCTTTTCACAAAGCTGTGCTTCAGGGCCTAATGGAAAGGGCATGGAGTCGCTTGGGCCTGGGTGCGAGTTCTGACCCAGATTCTTGTGGAGACTCAGTTTCCTTAAGCACATCTCAGGGGTTCCCGAGGCCTGAATGCGGGACCGGGCGTAAAGCGCCTTGCCCCACGAGGCACAGGCTCAGCACACGGCAGCCCGCCCTGGCGATCTCCACACTCTTGACATGTCAGGACCCAGACACGTGGTGTGGCATCAGCATTTTCCACCCCTTCCTCCTGGGGTGTGTCACACTGAATTGAGTTCAACAGGGGAAGAGACGTACTGAGCACGCATGGCATAAGGTGAGGGATGGCAGCAAGTCTGCAGATGGCACAGGAATTGCCTATCAGGGGTCTCCAAAGGCTTTTTCCACATTCTGACAGAAGCTGGAGCTTGCTGGTCGTGAAATGTCAAGTGCCTTTTTGGGGGGCCATTTCTGAGTGGTAACCGTGGTTCCTTTTTGCTGATCAGGGGCTCCGATTGGCTTCCACATCTCTGATCAGTTCAGAATAAAAGTGAGAAAATCAAATGAGCCCTCTGTAAGAAGTACAGTTTGTTAAAGAAATGGTTCAGAGCCCAGGACTTCTGGGCAGCAGGAGTCTCTCTAGACCCATGGCTGCCCAGGCTGGTCCTGATCCCTTTGGCACCCCCTCTGGTCTGCCGCCTTGTGCATTCATCTCATGGGCTGGGCCACTAGGAATAGCCAGAGGCTCCGCTCAGTCTGGCCTAGTGCTCTCCAGGCAAATACAGGGACTGGGCAGGCTTCCGGCTGCTGGGGAATATGTAAGCCCTCTCATCTAGGGGCATGTGGAATACTCACTAAGTGCTAGGCCTGCTCTGGGCTCTGGGGATCTAGCAGCGGACAAAATAGACGGGACAAACCATTTGTTCATCTGTCCTCTTAAAAACCTGAGAAGCGAGTGGAATGGACACCCATTTTATGCATGAGGAAACAGGTTCAGAGGATGGTCCTATAACTGGCAAATGGACAAGCGGAGCTCATGTGCACTTTGGTTGCCTGTAGTCCTGTGCCTTCTGTGATTTCACATTGACTCTGTTTTGTAAATGCAAAGTTACTTGGTCAGAAGGATCAAGGCTGTGCCTATTTAGCAGTATTGGGAACAGACCAAAAGCATCACCTCAACCTGAAATTCACTATAGTTGTGTGGATCCAGTTGAAACCTTCACAAACATTAAGCTACACTGGTAATATTTCCTCTCTTTGAGATCCAAGCAATCTTTTCTTAAACAGAGGTGTCTGTGGAGTCTCAGAAGACAGCTTAGAACCAGCAGGCCTGGCCTACCTTGGAGCATGGGCTCCTTAAATCGTCCCTTCAGCCCGTCTCCAGCCTCTTGGTCCTCATTGCCATGTCATTCTGCACAGCTTACAGACAGTGCTCTCTCTGAGGTCTGTCACCACCACCTCTAGCCAAATCACTCTGTCCGTGGCTTTTTTGCATCTGATGACTTTGACCTCGTGGATTGGCACCTGTCTCCTTTGCACCCACAATATCCCAGTGTCCTCTTTCTGCTCCTCTAAACACACCCCATCTTGATGTGCTCTGCCCTCCCTCCAACGTGACTGTAGCCTCTACCTGGTGTTAAGGCCTGCAGCCTCTGTTCATCCTCTAGTTATGTCTATTTGGAGGACTCCTGGAACCCCTAGATCTCCCTCCTGGGAGGGTCTGTCCCACAGACGTGCCTCGAATGGATGAATGGTCCAATGTCTACTGTTGGTCACAGCAGGTTTCTATCTGCATGTCCCACCATCACTTGGAAATAAATGTGGCAAACCACAAGCCATTTTGAAATCACAGAAAATGAAAGTTGAGAGGGATGTGGGGGGCCATCTCGATCAAATCCTCAGGGAACTTGTGCTTTCTTTTCCAGGGCGCCAGCATCGCCCTGGGTTGGCACCCTCCCCAGAAAGGCCGCGAAGCCATCTTTGGCTCGTGACATCACGCAGGGCATGAAGAGCAGCCTATGGTCCCTCTGTTGAGTCAGGGTCCCTTTCTCTGTCCTTCCCCAACATAGTTTCTGCTCATGATGAGTCATGCCGGAGCCGGCTGAGTCAGAAGTGACTTGTGGGTGGTTTGTGGCCAGGCTGGAGCAGTGAGGCAGGAGGACTTTCTAGGTTTATGTCTCTGTGCCCCAGACTAGCATGGCCCAGTCCTAGCAGGTGCTGGGCGAGGCGCGGGTAACAAAACGAAACTTCTGGTCCAGAACTCGGTGAATGAGGGGAATCATGACAGACCAAGACATCGTCCCTGAGGTGCTCCTGTGTGGTGACAGGCGTGTGTAATGCCGGTGCCGTGTGGCAGACACTCCTGGGCAGGTATATATTTACAGCGGCTGTAAAAATCTTCCATTGCCTACATGGTCCTAATTCTGGGTATTACGTGTATTTCCAATACGTATCGCTAAATTCAGTATTCCTTTCCTCGTGATGTTATTCTTTTCAATAAAGGTGATTCATTAAATAGATAGCTAATTTAATTTTTTGTACTGTGTAAGATTTTTTTTTCATATAAATAAATTCATAACCAGAAACCAATTCTTTTGTCAGGGTGTGTCATGATTCTGTAGTTGAGAACTGTGGCCACTGGGAGGGAGAGCTGCCTTCGCTGAGGCAGCGGGGTCTGCCCCGCCGGAAGTACCCGCTCTGAGGGTATATGTAAAGGGGGGGTCTAAAGGTGGCTCGAGCTTTGCCAGGCAGGAAGGGGGTGAAGTTCATCCCTGCCGGGGGGACCGCCACGGCACAGCCCTGGGAGTGTGGCTGTTGTGGGGGGTGGGTCGGGGAGGAGGCCTGTTGGATCCAGCCCTGACTTCACAGGCTGTGTCTGTGCCCGCAGGAGGGAGAGGAGCAGGAGGAGGCACGTGGCAAGGAGGAGCGGCAAGAGCCCAGCACAACTGCACGGAAGGTGGGGCGGCCTGGGAGGAAGCGCAAGCACCCCCTGGTGAGTGTTCTGGCAGCCCCCCAGCACACACGCACATGCCCTGCAGGGCCCTAGGAACGCTGCCGAGACTGGCGTGGGGCGTGGGCCTCCAGCTGCAGAGCTCACCTACCTTCCCCATTTGAACCCCACAACCGCCCTCATGACTTCTCTTTTCCACATCCAGCTGGAGACCCCTAGAGACCAGGGGACTTACGCTGTGGGTTGTGGCAGAGCTGGAACTTGAACCAGGCCCCTGACTCCCGGCTTCCTCTGAAAGGGCAGCAAGAGATCCTGACAGATTCCCTCGGTGGCTCTGACAGGGCAGAACTTGCTTCTCCCTCGCCTGCCTGCACAGGCCCCTCCCTCCCCATCCACACACCCACCCTGGGCCTCAGCCCCACCTGGAGAACCTGGAGGAAGGGAACTGAGGTCTGGGAGTCTGATCAAAATGATTAGGGAAGAGATGCGGGCTGATGAGTCCCTTTGTAAGAGAGCAGGAGAGCTGGGCCGCGTAAGTCCTGTAGAAGCGTAGGCCACAGGGCCGGCCCACAAGCCCCAGGCTTCCTGGTGCCATTGCCTCCGAGTCCGAGTCCGGGGGGAGCTCTGGGGCTGCCCAAAATGAGGAGTGCTCTGGAGAGCAAGGCCTGGAGCCTGCCTACCTTATGCCTTAAACTCAGAGGCAGAGCAGCCATTATTTACCAGTACCAAAGACAGCTGGTTCCTTTCTTTTAGCCTATTCCAGCTGAGAATGGGAAACTCGAAGCATGAAGGTAAGGGGGAGCCGGGAGCTCCAGATTTGGCCCTTCAAGGAAACGTTCTCAGCAGGGCAGGATTTTCTCCCTTGGGGGAGAGTCAGAGTGAATGGCGGCAGAGGCAGGGAGGGCTGCCCAGCTGGACCTGAGGGGCGCTTCTCAGAGCCCGAGGGTTTGGGAACCTGCCTGGTACTTCAGTGTACCACTGCCAATTCTGCTTGAAGATGTGGAGGGGAAGGGGGAGCAGAAGTTAAGTCTTTTAACTGGTAAGTAATTTTAAACATTTTAATATTAAAGCAAATACGGATATTTTATGGTCTGGAATGAAAAATTCCATGAAGTTGAAAGATAAAACAGGTGACTTCAAAGGAATGTCCAGCTTTCAGCTGACTCCAGGTCGTACCCTTGGATTCTCAGGGTGCCCTTCCACTGGGAAGGTGGGGCACAGTGCAGGCTGGAATGCGTGGGGGAGCCAGGCGGAGTCAGAGCCCACTGGTAATTCTGCATCTGCATGTGTGCCCATGATCTTCCCAGCAAACTCCATCTTTCCCTGATCCAGCTGCTGGGGACAAAAGCCCCCACCTATAGCAAATAAAGGGCCGGCAACCCTTTGACTCCTCTTCGTGAGTCCCTGGAACCAGGAGGAGGGCACGTTACTGAGAGGAGGGGTGAAGCCCCAGAGGAAGAGGGTGCAAGGAAATCAGGGGCCGGTGTGTACAAATGTGTCGGGAGATGGACAGATGGGAGCGAAGAGGGGCATGGCCGCGGAGGTGAAGGGTCAGTGGGTCATATGCCCCCAGCCTGGAACAGGGCCCCATGTGGAAGAAAAAGCTCTGTCATTTGAATCCAACAGACCTGGGTTTAAATCCTGGCTCCACCACCTGTGTAACCTTGAACCAGGGGTTCCCCTTCTAAAAAAACAGAGATGATAAGGATGTATTCCTCCTAAGCCCCTGTGAGAATTCAATGGTTTCAAGCCCAAAGAGCTAGGGCTCAGCAAAGGTCAGTCCTGCCTTTGCCTGGCCAAAGTTCTCTTCAAGAGGCCACGGCGACTTCAGTTTGACAGAAGAAACAGCACTGTATTTACTGCTTCCCTGTGTGACATTGAGCAAGTTACTGAACCTCTCTGAACTTCTGTATATTGGTAAAATGTGGCCACCAGTAATACCCGCCCTGACCACCTCCAGCAGTGCTTTGCAAACAGCAAGACAGTCCAAATGTGCAGGCAGCAGTATAATACACCTGCTTCCCTGCAGGGACCAGTGGGGCCAATGTCCGTAAAGCCTTTCTGGTGGGAGCCTGGCATCAGCTTCTCAGCAGCCTCCCAGGCTATGTGCAGGTCACAGTCTGGATCTGTTCTAGGTAACACCTCAAGAGAGGCCCCGGGATGAGAGAGAGAGCACGGGGAAGTCAGTGCTGACTGGAGAGGTAGGGGGCCAAGGCAGCTGTTGTAAAAGGGACCCCTTGCACCTTGGGAGAACAGAGAAAGACTGACACCAGAGAAAACAGCCAGCACTGCCCTTCATGGGCAGCAGGCTGGGGGCGGGGGGACAGAGGAGGAAATTCATGCTGCAGCTAGAGATCAGCCCATGGTTCCCTGGCCCACAGGCCATCTGGTTCACTTGTGGAGCAGGTGCTTGCCCTGGCTTCTTGGGGACCTGGTACAGCTGTGGCCCTGGGAACGATTGGCCAGGGAGCTTTAAAGCAGCTGAGTGTGTCATTAACTAAGCCTGGAAAGGGGAGGGAGCTTGGCTCAGTTCCCAACAGGTGGAACAGAGTGGGGAGTGCTGGGAAACAAGGGAGGAAAACCTGGCCTCGGGCTGAGTTCTTTATTTGTGCAAAGGTCGCATGAGATGCACCCACTACTGTCATCATCATCATCGCCCCGGTCCCAAGGCTAGAAAATCTGTCCTCCTTTTGTCCCTAAACCCTATCTGTCCCTGCGTGCCTTCCAGTCCTTTCTGTTCCTGCACCCGCCTCCTGGCTGCATCCTCACCCAGACCGGACCTCACCTGCCCCCAGAATAGTTTCTCACCCCCCAGCCCTTCCTCCCCTCCAGGACGAACATTTTACACCTACTGGGCACCTACGAGGGCGGGGGAGGTCACACGGATCAATAAGACTCATCTTTCAATCTAGTGAACTGGAGAAAGGAGGCCTCACATAATTACACCAAATACAGTTCATGGCACATCTCTGTTCGAGAATCTCCAGGGACTCTATTTCTTATGGGACAAGATCTGGAGTACTTGATCTGGCTCTTCACCATGCCATCTCTCCTGCCCCTGCACTGGTGCTCAGTATCCGCCTCTTTTGCCATAGAAACACAGACACCCCCACCTTCTTGCTGCTCCCTGAACACACCAAGTGCGTTTCACAACCCTCCCTCCTCTCTGCCTCCCCCAGAGCCACAGCCCATCCAAGCCTGTCTTGCAAATGAAGCCCAGTTCAGCCATCATGACCCACACTGGCTCTCCCTTTCAGACTGTTTGTAAAATTAATCAAAATGAACAGTAAGAAATAAAAGACACATTCTAATTGCCCCCCGGTCCCGTCAACCCCACCACGTGCTTGGACAGCAGTGGTCTGCAGACCTGACTTAGATGTACCTGTCTTTGAACTGTTTGTTACCTGTCTGTATAGACCCTGAGAATAAGTATTTACAGACTTTTATATCAATTTGATACTGTCGCCACATCCAAGGGCATGATTTTGTATTTTACAAAACCGTCATTTCTTGATTGATTGGAAATTAACAAAAACAAAAGCAAAAACCTGGCCTTTCACCCCAGACATTTGGAAAAGCAGGTGGTGAGGGCCTATGTCTTCCACTAGATTTGATGTTTAGTGCCACCAGCATTGACGGTCGCTGAGCTGAGCCACACTGTACTGTCTACCACCTCACTGAAGACAGAGACCATAAATACATCCTCAGAGTTGTGCAGCACTCTGTTGCCTACAAAAGCCTTCAACAACGACGACTTCATGGGCCACTGACAACAAACCTGTGTGACGTAGGTGGGGGCCACTGTCATTACCATCCTCACATTCAGATGAAGAGACTGAGGTTCAGAGATGATGGACTCCACACCTCCCAACTCCAAAGCCCACAGTGCTCATTCCTTCTCACCACTTTGGCCACGCGATCTGGAAGACCGGATATCCAAACTCTTAATTAAGTTAGTATATGAATGCAGGGCTGTTTGAAAAAGTGTGTGGACTTGGCCCGAAAGGCGTACAGAGAAAATATAACTGAAGAGGGCAATCGACCCAAATACCAGGGAGCCCGCGGGGAAGTGGGGAAGGCTGTGGTGGTCTGAGGAGGGAGAGGTGGGCCCGTTAAAACCAGGCAGTGGCTTGGTCTGCGACACTGGTCTCAGAGCCAAGATGCTCGAAGCCAGAGCTGACAACAGGAAACAGGAAGCCGGCTGCACGGCTGGGCGGGGCTTCTGAAGGGAGCTGGCACCTGGACTCAGGGCCTGCAGGCTGGCCAGTGCCTATGACAGGGAGGAGGGGACAGCGGCATGCGGGGCTGGCCTCTGCTGTGAGCCTGCCTGTGGGTGTGAGCATCGGGGTGGGCGGAAGAGACATCTTCCTGTTCACCAGCCCTCAAGGACGTTACAGAAGTGAGGGTGTCCAAAGCAGGTTTCTGCCTGGTCACAAGCCCAGACAAGCCCTGGAACCGCCTTTGTCCTTCGTGCTGGTTACAGCTGGGATACTAGGAAGGACAGTTTCTGCTCTTGCCCACCAGGTAGTGAGGGGCTCTGTGCCCTGTTTACTAGCCGTATGTATTTATTCATTGAAGATTTATACCCACCAACTTCCTCCAGGGTTATTTTTGCTCAGTGGGAGCACTCTGAGGTCACCTCTTGCTAAGAATAACCCAGAAAAGGAGGGGGGAAAAGGGGCTGGGAGCAGGCGCTGAGCTCAGCCAGGCCCGCCCAAAGCCAGTGTTACTCCACGTTTGAGGCAGAACCTCCAAAACAACTCCTGAGTGAATGTAAGAGGGCAAAACTGCCCTGCTTCAGAGCAGAAGACGGGCGTTATAAACTGTGGGAAGTTAGGGAACCGTTCTGCCGAAGCTTAAGCCAGCTGGGTACAGTTTAACTCAGCAATTGGGAGTCTGCCATACTGGCTCATTTTCCAACCTAATATGACCTTTTGATTTGTCTCCAAGTTAAGACAGAGCTCAAATCCCCTCTTTGTGTCAGAACAGCTCCTTCGCTCACCCCCGGAACCCTGACTCAGAGACTTGGTGCCCTCTGCTCT